AACCGTGGTTCCACTATCACTTTTTCTATGCCCAGTACCATCTCAGTGAATCACACGCTGTGTACATGGCCATCACAGCACAAGATAGGAACGAGTACTGAAAGGGACCGATAGATGGCTCTCCTGTCAGGCAGAAATGTTTGGAAACGTAACGGTAATAACAGATTGAAACTAGATGAGGGTGTCGAAGGAAACAAAAAACGAATACAACTGAAATCTGGAAATAATTGTTTTGGAAGTAAATTCTTTTCTTTGATACCCATTCTTGGAAAACCAATTATATTTTGTCAGTTCTGAGATTCCCTCATTTCCAAGTTGTTGCCCGGTTGTTATATTTCCCTCAAGCAGCACAAACTGGTACTCTGGTTTCCCTTCGATACGCTTAAATCTTTCGCCTTTTACTAAAGATTTCCGTGGAGGGGAACATTTGATGAGTCTTTAACCAATTTTTTGTTGTGCCTGGCGTAAGCTGGGCCAGTAATCATTATCATGTTTTCGTAACAATAATTACGCATTTCTTTGCTGCTCTGTTCTTGAGTGTGTCTTGAAGTGCTGTAACAAGATACGGCGTCTGTTTTGTGCCGGTATTGTTTGCTATAGAAAATGTATGAAAGTCTATGTAACGAGGTTACGATCCGAGATCCACAAGCATTTGTATTCCAATAATATAGCCGTGTTAGAGGTGTGGCTGTGTCGGGGACACGGCCGTGGGTTTTACGTGAATAATTTCTTTGGGATATGGGAATTAAACGAAAGAAACGAAATGGATACTTCCATGGGCTCGCAGTCGTCTTCGGTAGATGCGGGAGCCTCGTGTGAGCACTGCACCTCCATCGGCTCAGCGATAGCGGCCGTCGTTTGCCGCGTCGACTTTCCGACGTTTCCGAAGCCGTCTCAATCGTTCCGCCACGGACATGGCGGCACTGATCGATGGCTGATTAGACGCCCTTTCCGATGAGATGCGTTGCTTGTATTTCCTCTGGGCTTTTCGGTGAGTATGGACCGACATCAGAAAGTTTAAATTTTTCACGACATATTCTTGATTTGTCACCAAGAAATATTTTACAAAGTTCAAATCGACAGATCTAGACGAGATCTTTCGTTTGGTACCAAAATCAGCGCGCTAGCACATCGGAGTCGCGAGATATACTGCCCGGAAATTTTCGCCCACGCCCAAAATGGCCGCCCCCCGGGCCTAGCGCAACTCAAGGTCATGCTCGCATCGTAGTCGTATATCCGATGGAATGAGACCAAATTTATTTCAATCGTGTTATTAGTCACGAAGTTATGTAATGTAATAATTCTTATATAAGAAACGTACTTGCGATATTCTAAAACGTTTTTAACAGCACAAAATTATTTATTCTACGACGCATTCACGGCCGATTCACAGGAAAGTTCTTTCCGCAATAACGAAAACGGATTGTTGAAGCGATAATCAAACACAACAATGCCGAGTAAACAAATGTCGTTTCCTAGGCAATATGACAATGCACGCAAGCTGACCATTGTTGTCGGTCCAAATTTACACATTTTTGATATGGATCTTACACGTTTTCCTTTCACTCTTTTGTCGAATAACCCTTTCGTATAGACGTATTTACGTCAAAAGTATTCGAATTTCTAACACACGCCTGCAACAATATTGGCTGAGCATGCCGTAAGGCTCACTTCTCATTTATTATGCATGCATGAATGTACCGTATTGCACTCCACTCCTTTGCCTAAGAAACTAATTGTTACGTCATCTGTTTACTCGGCATTGTTGTGTTTCATTATCGCTTCAACAATCCGTTTTCGTTATTGTGGAAAGAGCTAGGCTGTGGATCACTTGTAGAAGAAGTGCGTCGTAGAATAAATAATTTTGTGCTGTTAAAAACGTTTTAGAATATAAAAAGTACTTGTCTTATATAAGAATTATTAAGAATTCTGTGAAACTGCCCTCCACTCTCTCCATTTTAGTTTTCATTAAATTCATCTTTGCCGGTGGACATCGAGGTCTCGTACAATTGAACAAAGTTTGAGGTAAGGGATTCCTATTTATTACTATTATTTGCAAATGTATTTGCAATTGTGTGTGGTATCGTGAGCTTTAGTGTGTAATCGTTAAACATTCTAATGCCAGCAAGTCCATATGGAAGATCTCGTTGAATCTAGAGGACTCTACTTCTATAATATTGGCTACTTGAAGAATTCTGTAGCCACTTCGTCCTTAAGGGAGGATAGCAGCTGGTCGTATTTATGTCCTGTTATTGGCAACGCCCGATTGTCTGATTTTATTTGTGCTGTCACGAATACTAAACAATTTGAGGTAGAATTGACATTGAACCGTTTTCTACCGCACGAGGTTTTTGTAATTCAAATTCCTTCTGCTTTTATGGTAAATATTTCAACTTTTAGAGCAATACGAAAAAAACCTGAATTAATTTCGTAACTTTTTTTTAAAACAATTTATGAACTCCTAATAATCACTGCTTATAGCGCAACACATGAATAGAGAATGTAGCGTTAAAAGTTGCTAAAGCTGATGGTACATGCACGGGCTACCACTCTGTTTGAAGTGTCGTGAGAACTAGAAAGTTTTCCTTGAGTTCAGTGCTTAACAGTAGCCATAGTAGCTTGTTGCTTTTCAGTTTTAAACGATGATGAACCAACTGGCAAGTATGAAATCTTCATATTAGCATCGGAATAAAGGAACGTAAATTCTGTTTCTGGGAATTAAAATCGTAAAAGGTCAATGTACGTGACCTTGCTTTGATAAAAATCCCCGGAAAAACTTTTAATAGATCCGAGACATAATACGTATTTAGACTAGACACATTTCAAATTTGAATATTTTGATAAAGAGGAACACAGAAGTTTTACTTGACGCTAGTAGGAAGTTGGGGATGAGTGAGTTTTTCCGAGCTTTTCCTCAGTTGTAAGGTAAATATAAGGGAATAATTCAAAAGGAGGACGGCCCGCCAACCCCAAATCATTGAGCCCTACAGCTGACGTGACAATAATTCGTAGACTGTCCTCTGGGGTCAAATTCTAGACAACTCTCCAACCTAAATCCTTTTCATGACCGATAAGTTGCCTCACGAGATAACTCTCATGAGCAGCAAAAGCCCGTCAAAAGCTTTCGAAGCGATAAAAACCTCGTATTGGTTATAAAGCTCTGTTTACCATTTCGAGCAATGCGGTCATGACGTAGGAATAGTGTCTTCTAGCAAGGGAAGATGTCTTGCGCTTGCGCAGGACTCTGCCCTTAGTTAGCTTTTTGATGCTGCTAGGTCCAGAGACTGGGACTAGCTTTAAAGATTGGGCCTAACAGAGTCGGATTTTTACCTGGAGACGGAGATAGACTCCAGTCTCCAATACGCCATTTTTATTCGTTTTTGGTGTTGGACTTTGCATTAGGTCCAAAAAATAGTTTGCTTCAACATTTTAAGAGAGACTCGAACCAAGGAATGTATTTTGGTCTGTGACCTTAGATCCTGTAATTTCCTTTTCGAAAGGACAGAATTTTTCCTTGTCGTCGCTCTCTTAACGCGGTTGCGTTCCCATCAACAGAAACCATTCTCCTTGTCAGGAGTCGAACCCAGTTTCCGCAATATGTGACCTTAGATCCTGTAATTTCCTTTTCGAAAGGACAGAATTTTTCCTTGTCGTCGCTCTCTTAACGCGGTTGCGTTCCCATCAACAGAAACCATTCTCCTTGTCAGGAGTCGAACCCAGTTTCCGCAATATCCCCTTCGAGGCAAAGAACTCTGATCGTGGCGCCATCGTCGTGTCTCGCTTAGTTTCGGAGTTAAAGGAAGGAAATCGAACCCAGACTCCTGACCTTCCTGAGTTCTCTCATTGTCTTAAGGAATAATTACGTCATGTTTCATTTTCACGATCCGCAAGGGAACGACTAAGAAATGTCAGCCTCAATTTCGAGTCTACACAAGACCTGTAGACTCTGCGGTATTTACTAAGTGGAACTACGAGAGTTTCTTACAAATTCATCTTCTGGGTCTCAGACAGTTTTCGGGCTTGTGACCTTAGTCAGTCAAATCATTTCCCAGGAACAAAAACAAAATTTGCTTTAGCCCCATTCTTTCCTAGTGCTTGCTGTCCGAACAACAGAAAAACTTTGGCGGCGTTCGAACAAAGGAAACAATTTCTCTGGCTCAGCGCCCGGGCCACTCAAAAACCATCTTTAAAATTAATCAAGTATACTAAAACCGAGGGTCATTTTTAAATAAGGGCAATTGGATTTGCATTATCTCCCCATGTCACTTCGGATTACTTTTAAATTTATTTTCTTCTTATAGGAAAATTATTTGGTATTAATTATTGACTTCTAATATTTAAGACTGAATGCAACTAAATTAATCTTTGATTTGTTTCTTCACCTGCCAACAATGAGTAAATATGGACCGACAATGGTCAACTATTATATGAACTCCCGCGTGCATAACAATGCAAGAAAAAGTATTCGAATTTCTAACACACGCCTGCAACAATATTGGTTCAGCATGCCGTAAGGCTCTTTTCTAATTTCTTATGCATGCAGTATAATTGCCTGAATAAACCGTATTGCACTCCATTCCTTTTCATAAGAAACTAATTGTTACGTCATCTGTTTACTCGGCATTGTTGTGTTTCATTATCGCTTCAACAATCCGTTTTCGTTATTGTGGAAAGAGCTGAGCTGTGAATCGTTTGTAGAAGAAGTGCGTCGTAGAATAAATAATTTTGTGCTGTTAAAAACGTTTTAGAATATAAAAAATACTTGTCTTATAAAAGAATTATTAAGAATTCTGTGATACTGCCCTCGACTATACCCGTTTTATATTTGATTAAATTCATCTTTGCCGGTGGACATCGAGGTCTCGTACAATTGAACAAAGTTTGAGGTAAGGGATTCCTATTTATTATTATTGTTCATCAACTTTAAAGTTTTCATCTGCATTTGTGAACTCGTGTAAGAGAATTAGGCTTGTCTTCTTTTTAACATAATTTCAAGTAACATTAGATTGACTTCTGTTTGTTCACGACATCATTGATAGTAAAAGAATATTCCAGTAGGCAATTAACATTTTACAATTTTAAAAAATAAAACGTGTTTCGTAGCCCAGAATCATAATAAAAATTTATGGATGCTAAGAAGTGGGGTTTATATTCTGAA